GGGGGGGCTGGTAGCCCAGACCACAACCGATTATGCTTGCCGCTCAGACTATTTTTGAGGTTCGGGTTAATTTAGCGTTCAGGTTGTTGGGTTTATGGCTTAGGCAGGGCTTAGGTCTGACTCAATGTTTGAATTATTATTCACTCCGGGTTTACTGTTTGGCATTCTCGTTTAGGGTTTAGCATTTCCCGCTGTGGATTTTGCACCTTGGGTTTAGGGTTTAGGGGGGTTGGGTTTAGGGTTTGGGGGGTTGGGTTTAGGGTTTGGGGGGTTGGGTTTAGGGGTTGGGGGGTTGGGATTAGGGTTTGAGGGGTTGGGATTAGGGTTTGGGATTTGGGGTTCAAACTCTGTAAAAGATTTGCAGTTGCCAGTTTGGGGTTAGCACACCCATGCACTGACTTGGGGGACCTACCTACCGCATTCTCCGACAATGCTTCAGAAGCAGTCCAAGGTAGAAATAAGAGGGGAAACAAAACAACAAAAAAAAACAAAACGAAAAAAGAGTGGAAACAAAAATGGATTACGGATTATCAATTTATTACGGAATATTTTTAAGGCATCGTTATATATAGACTTTGGTCATCATCGAGATATCCATAGCAGACTCGTGTTTAAGACAAAGGAATCGCTCATGGCACGAAAACATCGACAGCGTCGGTGAGAGAGACATATCAGGAATATCAAGTCCCGACTCCCGAGTAATAAATAGAGTTACCAGAAATAGACATAGACAACTCAGCAATAGACATTTGGCCAAATTTGGGGCAATAAACAGAAATACGCCACTGGTGTCCGTAACAAAAGACATAGCAGGTTTGGGGCAATAAACAGAAATACGCCACTGGTCTCCGTAACAAAAGACATAGCAGGAATAGTCCAAGGAAGCAAAATTAAACAAATCAGGAATTATAGGGGACACTATCAGGGAAATCCGAAATAGACATATATCAGGAATTAAGACAAATTCTATAGGATTCTACAAGTGAAATAGACAAATCAGGAATTATAGGACAGGCAATAAATAACAGTGACATACTGGAAACAGAGACATCAGGTATAAGACGGAAAGACTACTGTCTTCACCCGAATAGAACACCCGGTCATTATCGCTGTATCAAGACTAAAAGTTGGCCCAAATGAAGGTATAATGACGTCATTATCGCTGTATCGAGACTAAAAGTTGGCCAAAATGAAGGTATAATGACGTCATTATCGGTGTATCGAGACTAAAAGTTGGCCCAAAT